AACCTTGTAAGAGGGAATTGTCCCCATAGGTGAATTAATTGGATCTGTGCTGCTATTTGTGGGGGCTACGTATGCACGAGGTGACGAGAGTCCGTGCGTAGCTACTATTATGATTATGTCCGGGTAGTCTAGGACCCAAAAGCATGCTTACTTGTAATAAATGCAACCTTGTTGACAAATTTAAGAATGCTTAAAACATATCGAACGTGTAAATAAATTTCTAAAAGACTAGATATCATTACTTGACTTTTAAAAGAGAAACTTGCCTTTTCCTGAATAATTGCTCCTCGATGAATTATTGATTTGACTGTTGAATGTGTCTATCTATTGTGGAACGAGCCGAACGCCTCGGTAGATTAAATAGATGCATCTATGATTCGTGCCATTCGACCATCTAGCAGTGCACAGTTTAAATATTATTGGATCGGACCGTACGTCCTCGGCATGATTTGCGCATGCTTGTATTGCTTGTCTTGAAATTTATTGAAGTTGATATTGCTTCTTCTCGGCTTGAGAATATATGTATAAATGATGAAAGAGGAATTTAGGAATTTCACGTAAAAGAAAGAATTGTTTACTTGCTTCACTCTATTGAATTACAATCATGTTTATAAAAATTCTCGATTTATTATATTATTGAAGTATCATTATTGGACCACTAGTAAGTGTCGAAGTCGACCTCTCGTCTCTACTTCTTCGAGATTAGACGGGATACTTACTGAGTACACGTTATTTTCGTACTCATGCTACACTTGCTGTGCATTTTTATTGCACAGGCACAGGTATTTCCAGTGGCTTACTGGGCGTAGCGGCATGGATGATACGGAGACTAGGTGAGCTGCATTCCTCGAGGCGACTCGCAGCTAGTATAGTTTCTTTCAGCGTATTGTATTTACTTCCTGTCCAATTTGTATTTCGGACAGTAACTGTATTATACCTTGTTTTTCCTGGAAATTGCTCATGTACTTGTGACACCGGGTTCTGGGATGATTATGGGATTATTCAGTATTCAGGAATTGTTAAAGACACCATTATTATTTCAGCAAATTTCATTATTTATTGTTCAATGTATAAAAGAAAAATGATTTCAATATATACTAAAACGGAAATTTAACTAACTTCTTGGTGTTGGCTTGCCTGACAGTGGTGTCCGGCGCCATCACGACCCTTAGTGAATTTTGAGTCGTGACACAACTAAAATTGGGATTGAATCCCATGAATGCTGGAAATATCAAAGGTGAATATGGGCACATTCATCTGCCATGTATACCACATAAGATGCATCTGTGAGATGGTTACACGTGCGATTATTATTAACCCGAAACATAGTGTTTGCGAGGTAACTTGCTCAATAATTTAATTTAGAGCATAATTTCCAGATTTTTTATTCAAGATAGTTCATCTTCATAGTTGGTTTACATCACAGGTCGTTTAACAAAATAATTTATTGAGTGCCTCCACTTAATAGCTAAACAATTGCTTATGAGAACAAAGTTATCTATATCAGTTTGATATACGTTATATACCAAAGTATATTATTTTTTTCCCTCACAAGTGGTTCAGGGTCAGGAACCAAATAATTTCATCTTATTATTATTGATGTGCGGTGTATATTTTGATTAAAACCATAACGCACAAAGGTGGATTTTCAAAGTTGAGGAAGCAAGTTAGTTTTTCTAACATGAGGGGAAGAAAGGATAAACAGTTGAGAAAAAGGTTACGTGGAATGAATTATCATTTCTACATCTAGATCCTCGAATAAGATAATATGAACTTGAAGTTCATAAAAAGATAATTCATGTGCAATATATTGCAAAGCATGCCAGGCGCATTTGCTGACCAAAAGAAAGTAACTATATTCTCACTGCAAATGCTCCTATTAGAATAAGTCCTAGAAGGACAAAGTCTATGGTACGCTTTAAGAGTATAGACAAATCGGTTTCAAATAAAACTTCTTGATAAAGAAGATGAGCAAATGATCAAAATGATCATAATAAAGGAGGCAAGTGATCTAGAAGATCACATGACATAACACTTCATAAAATCTCATGAGAGATTCAGGTAGCTGAATATATGAATGAAGAGATCTCTATGTTATGTCTTTATAAAAAATAAGGAGGTTGGAACTGATATAAAATGTTTGTCGACGACATCTATAATAGCGCTAAATATATATGAGGATCATAAGTCTGGAGAAACAATTCAAGTAGAATTTGGTTTCATATGAAAGACATGTAGTTCAAACACTTGAAAATATAAAGTCAATGGTATGTGCAATCAGTTTTTGATATCTTATTTGTCTAGCATGACATGAAAACTTGATATGCATCTAATTAAAGTCTGTTATATGACTTACATGACTTAACTTATATGACAATCCTTGAAGGATTTAAATCACTTAAAGCATATACAATTCTTGGTCCTGAAGTACCATATCCTAAATGCAATTTGTGCACATATGTATCTTGCTATAACTATAAGCATGATAATATGATAGCAAGAGTTTTCACCCCTATGTGAAGATATTGAAATGATGATTCCAACAAGCTCATATGAAGACAATACATCTATCAAGGATGGTGATTTCAAGGTGAAACAAATTCGTTGAAATTAATATGGCTGGTTTGTTTGTCAAATATATACCAACGACTTTTTGAAGATGGTGCACAAGATTGGAATGCGAAAGCTCAAGGATGTGAATTGATACTCTCATCAGGGGGAGCTAATGCGCGTTGCACTCTTTTTTCCTTACAAGGTTTTGTCCCACTGGGTTTTCCTTGCAAGGTTTTTAACGAGGCAACCAAAAGGCGTATTGTTAGATATGTGTACTCTTTTTCCTTTACTAGAATTTTTTTTCCCACTGGGTTTTATTTTAGTTAAGGTTTGAACGATGCACATTATCTGGTAGATAGGCATTCAAGGGGGAGTGTTATAAATAGAATTTTATTTATGGTGAATGTCTATATTTAGAGAGATTCTAGGGATTATTACTTGGAGGCTAAGTCACTCTTTCCCTATAAATAGAGGGTTCTATTCTATTGTAATTTTCATCCCAAATCAATAAGAATTTTCTCTTCCTACTTTTCTCTGCAATATTATTCTCCTTCTTTTATTTTTATTGTTTCATTACAAAAGTCTTATAATTCACAATTTTTCTTTATATCGCAATTTGACCTATTGCTCTGCGTCCCCTTAAGATTACTAAAAAGATCAAAATAAAAAGGATCAAAATACCTGCTCATTACTCGGTGATCGAATCATATAACACCAACAACAAAGAGAACGAAGGAACAAAAGAAAGAGACAAAAAGTACATGTGGTGGTCATGGGTCACCATTTTGCCAACTATATATGCATGTTATATTAGTTTATTTATTATTGCAAACGAATGTTTGTGGATCCAAATTCTTGCACCAAATTCTCACCAACTTTGAAAATGATGAACCAAAATTTTGGGTGCACGTCCTACTTAAAAGACATGCCAATGTTTCCTGTTGCTTCCTCACCCACCACCAAACTTCTTGGGGTACCTTTTTAGATATACTTCTAATTTTTATATTTTTTGGTTGGGGTAGGGTGGACCAATGAATGAAAAAGAAGAAATAAACTATGATGATATTTAACCCAAAAACTCATATTATAATGTGTAATCGCAACTATTAAATGGTAATTTCAATCGATTGTCATAATTCTCCCGAACTTCTTAAGTCTTTTTTTTTCTTTTTTTAGGGGGGGTTGGGGGGGGGGGGGGGGGTAGGTTAGCTTACCATTCACTTTCACTCTATTCTTTTTTTTTTTTTTTTTAGGTTAAAATTTACTTTCACTATATGTTTGATCTTTTCTCAATAAGGTGTCTTTATAAACTTAGAGTTTAATTTTTATGTTAATTAACAACACAATTGGGTCTCTTAAAGGTTAATTGAGTAAGTTATACACCAAATTAAACATGAATTGACAACCTAAAAAGGATACATACTTAGATTACGTGCAATCTTTTAGGAATTACATGCACCTGCTTTTTAATTCTAACTGTGCAACTTTTCTTTTTAATTTTCCATATATTATTTAAATTGACATATCCACAACACTACAGTAAGCCTGATTATATTTTTCTTAAACATTTCACAAAGTAAAACAACTTCTGCATGACTTTAATAAAAGTTCTCTCTTCCTAATCAAGGCCAAATAAAAACAAATAGACTACTTGTATTATATTTCCATTATCTATTACTAAGTCTTTGAAATAAATCCAGCCGTTGAATGTGGTTTCTCGTGATATCATCTCACGATTGAGAGTCATCCTTAACTACTTCCTTTGGTCTCACAATGGTGGGGTCCCCACATAGCCTCACACTCTTGACGAAACTCACAAACCACAGACCCGGTTGGCGGCCGGTCGACGCACGAAAAAGCCTCGTAAGGTCAAGACTAGTACAATAACAACATCATATCCGGGGGCGAATGTACTGTTATAGGTACGAATTCAATTGAATCCATAACTTTCGTCGTGAAATATAAATAAATATGTAACATATTTTCAGAATTGTAATAATAGTAGAGATGAACCCATATTATGGATTCAATGATAAAAATCTAAAAGTTAGAAACCATAAAATTTAAATTCTGACTCTGAACATACCAAGTGTTGTTTCACAAGTAGGGTCTGCAGAGGATCGGATGTACACAAACCTTACCCCTACCTTGTATGAGGTAAAAGATATTATTTTCGATAGACCCTTAGCTTAAAAAACGTTTTCAATAGCAACATAGCAAAATAGTAAAAATAACTAAAGTAAAAGAAACAACATTAGTAATAAATTTAAGGAATAAAATAATTACAATAATGCTGATATTTAATGAACAGGTCCAAACCAGACTCCTTTGTGTCTATATATACGTTCCATTCCCTTGAATCCAAACTCAGAAAACATAGAAAATCAACAATCAAACAGAGAAATTAAAAGCCCAAAAAGTTTGGCCTAAAGGAGAGAAAAGTAGCAAAAAAACATCAAAGAAATGGCAGAGAATGGAATTAAACACCAAGAGGTTGGCCACAAGAGTCTTTTGCAAAGTGATGCTCTTTACCAGGTATAATTATTTCCTCTAAAAATGAGATTTTGTGTTTTAGATAGCAATCGCTAGTATCTTAATTAAGACAAATTAAGATTTAAAGTTAATGTATTCAGAACGAATAACTTTATTGATTACATTCATATACAAACATGCATTTTCTATATTCCTGATTATATATATTGCCATTTAAATTTCTACTTGTGACAGTACATACTTGAAACCAGTGTATACCCAAGAGAGCCAGAATCCATGAAAGAGCTCAGGGAGGTGACTGCTAAGCATCCATGGTGAGTAAATTACATTTGCAGAACGATTATATATCCTATTCCATCTGTCTCAATTTATGTGGTGTCATTAGAAAGTCGAATTAATTTCTAATTTTTTATCATGAATTTGGACATAATTTTTAAGTATTTTGAAATAAAAATTACATTTTTGAATACTATGTAAAAGATATTGTAAGATACAATAAGTAACAATTCAAATTATTTCATATGAAAAAAATTGAAATAATTTATTTAACTCTCGAAATCTGAATAATGCCATATAAATTGGGATAGAGGGAATAATTTTTTTTTCTTTATTTTTTCTGACTGAATAATTTAAATATGAAAATGCTGGAAATTAACAGGAATTTAATGACAACATCAGCGGATGAAGGGCAGTTCTTGAACATGTTGTTGAAGTTGATTAATGCCAAAAATACAATGGAGATCGGTGTTTACACTGGCTACTCCCTCCTTGCTACTGCCCTTGCTATCCCCGATGATGGAAAGGTATAATATTAATTATTTTATAGGGGCTAACGATCGAATTATATTATTCTCTCCGTTTCAATTTGTTCGAACCTTTTTATTGGAGTATGAATATTAAATTGTCTAATTTTTTGTTCGAATTCGGACATAAATTCTTTAAGTTTTTTAAAATATATTTACATATTTAGAAACTACATAAAAAATATTATAAGTTATAATAGTTAACAATTCAAAATATTTTAAACTTTTGCAAAAAGTATAATCAAACAGGACCTTGTTTGACTCCCCCATATAATATTAGGTTCATTCTTGTTTAATTTAACGAGAAAGAACTATATGTTTTTTCTCTTAGTTGTTTTGGTAGCTCCACCAGAATTGTCCCTAAGAGAAAAGGAATAAAAAAAAGATAGAAAGAATTAGGAAATAGAGAAAAGAAAGTTCCTATCAGAAGGACATTTGACTTGCATTAAAGAAAGAAAGCAAGAGAGCTAGGGGATGTAAATAAATAAATAAATTTTTCGTTGTCATTTTTTCTTTTTCTTCCTTTGAAATCCTGTTAGGTGAGAGTGGGTTCGGAATGATGACAAAGAAAAGTAAAAGAAGGAAGCGCCTTTGACAGGATTAAACCATGCACCTTTTGCGTTTTCAATTTTATATATTTCAATCTTAGTTTATCTTTTTCCAACAAAGTAGGGTAGCCATAAATATTGAAAATATAATTTACAAATTGTACGCACGGATCAATTTGAAGTATAACAATAAATATTGTAATAAGCTTAATATGGTTTTCCAAAAATAAAAGAAATACCCTGTAATTAGATATAATACATTCATAGTGTATAATTTATTTACATTATCAATTTACATAAAATAAATCGTATTTTAAAATACACATACGATGATACAAGAACAATAAGATCTACGGCAAACATTTCCTTTCTTTTTCTTTGGGTTTGTTTCTAGAAATTCAAAAATAGCCAGATTTATAAGTGGTAATTGAAAAATAGCCACAACTTCAAAAGTAATTGAAATTTAGCTACATTTCATGTAAAGATAAATTTGAACAAAAATACTGTTCAAAATCCGAAAAATATTCCAGCATAATATGCTGGGGTTCGAATTTTTTACATGTGAACTTCCAGCATAACATGTTGGAATTTCATAATATGATGGAGTTTCAACATAATATACTGGAAGTTCATACACAGGTTCTCCAATCTCCATTATATTACGCTGGAACTTTCCGTATTACAGCAAAATAATAGCTATTTATTCATGACTTTACAAACGTTGGCTATTTTTCAATTACCAGTCCAATTTTAACTATTATTCTCCGCAAGACCCAATAATAAGTCCCGTTTGCCCATTAGCATGACCAAAATTTAATTGTTTAACTTCTTTATTTTATGCAGATATTGGCAATGGACATTAATAGGGAAAATTACGAAATAGGATTGCCCATAATCGAAAAGGCCGGTGTGGCTCACAAAATTGAATTTAGAGAAGGCCCTGCTTTGCCTGTTCTTGATCAACTGGTTGAAGATGTGAGTTTATTCCTTCCCAATTCTATTATCATTTGCTTTTAATTATCTCTTTATTACTATTTTTTATTATTGATATAGTTTCACCATATTTAGTATAATAGATTATTATCTTCTTTTTTGGTTACAAGTGTAAATTCAGCTATCTGAATTTTTATATAACTTTTAATTTGAAATCACACCAAGAGATATACAAACTTTACAACATTACAAAGAACTTAGGACATTATAATTGTTTTTGCATTAGATTAATTATCCGATCGAAAAGGTTTGTTTAATCGTAGCAGGAGCTCGAAAACTATAGATAGGATAGCTCCTTGCAAGTTTATTTTCGACCAGACTTGACAAAGAAGTATCTTCCTAATTCCTATAGATAATGAGAATTTGGTGAAGCTTATTCGGGATTAATCTTTCTTATCCGAAAGTCTTATCAAACTATTTGCCTAGGTAGGTGCGACATATATAATAATATAATAGTGACTAAAAGAACTAATATGGCATGATCGCGATTATAAGCGTCTTGTTTAGTTTAGGGATTCCTGTGTTTGGCCATACAAAATTTTCCACTTTTTTTCTTCAAAATAATTTCACTTTTTTTTTTTCGAAATCAGCGTTTGGCCATGAAATCTTCGATTTCCACTTGAAGATGAATTTCAGAATTTTCGAAAATCTGAAAAACTCCAAAAGGTTATTTTTCAAAATTCTCACTTCAAATCACTCACAAAAATTCAAAAATAACCCAAAATTATATTCATATCCAAACACGACTCTAACTTTCAAATATCATTTTTACATGAACTTATTTTCATATTTTTTTTGAAATTTTACAATTCTTATATCCGAACGCCCACTAAAACTAATAATTTTCATTTCAACTTTGGTTTCAGAAAAAGAATCATGGCACATATGATTTCATATTTGTGGATGCTGACAAGGACAACTACATTAACTATCACAAAAGGATAATAGATTTGGTGAAAGTTGGTGGTTTGATTGGGTACGACAACACCCTATGGAATGGTTCTGTGGTGGCTCCACCTGATGCACCAATGAGGAAATACGTAAGGTATTATAGGGACTTTGTATTGGAGCTTAACAAAGCCCTAGCTGTTGATCCTAGGATTGAGATTTGCATGCTTCCTGTTGGTGATGGCATTACCTTGTGCCGCCGCATCAGCTGATCATTCCATTATTCTTTTGTTTCTTTTTATTTCTAATTAAAAAAAAAAACCTTTTCTTTCTTTGTTCTCTTTGGTTTATAATGTAAGGGAGGACTTCCTTTTGAGCTATGAGTTTCATATTATTCACTATCTGTAATGGTAAAACATTGTATCTCAATGTATTTCTCATAATTAAAAGTAATATTGAGCATTAATTGCATTTTTTATTTTATTTTTTACTTTTATTTTTTCAAGGCTTCTATTACGCATGTCTAGAGATGGAGAAGTTAAAAATATAATTGTAAAAGTGCTTAAGGAAAAAAAATAATTAACGTACAGACCGAAAATGTTGAATGTTACATTCGTTTTTATATACGTTATTTTAATTTAACAAATAATTCACATAAATTAAACTATTAAAACTTGCAAGTATTAGAATGAAATATTCCAGAATAGGGTCATGGTTTAACATTTGTTCCATCCTTTTTATTCATTTATTTTTCAGCAAAAAGTTCATGCTTCTCTTATTTCTCTTTTAGTTGTTCCTTTGATTTTGAAAAGCTCATTTTGCTACATGATATTTATTATGCAGAGCTTAAATTTTAACCATTGTTGATTCATTTGTTGCTTCTTACATTGCTAGTATCGAATATATTTTAACTTTATCAATTTTATGTAAAGCAATTTCCCATTTTCATGTCGTTTCTACAGATTACAAGGTCTAATCATAATTGGAAATTTCTCATTGATAATTATTTTAATAAAATAGAAAGTATTTAACAATTTGAATGTGTAGTAATTTGCTAAACTTTTATTAGGATGGTTTGCCCCTCTCTTTTCTCTTTTGCTCGGATGTTTGTGGAGTAATTTAAAAAGCTTATACTATTTTAATTTCCTTTCAAAATTTTGTGTCGAGTACAATAAGTTTTTACAATAGATTAGATGAACTTTTGCTTCACATTTTTTATCATTTACAATTTTCTAGTCAAGGATATTAAGACTTAAATTCAACCAAAAAAATTCGGGAACAACATAGAACGTGATAAGACTTCTTTCTTTATTTATTCATCTAGTTTATGTTACAATTTTCAGTAGACTGTATTCAATTAATTTCATATGATATATGTGAACTTTTCTCAATGAGCAACGAAAGTACTCTTTTAGTGGTTTTTTGGGTGGTCCTTCCTCGGACCCTACGTGAATGCGAGATATTTTATGCTCCAATTTTTTTTTTCTTTTTCATAATGAGTAGTGAAACTCTTGTTATGATTTTTGCATATATATAACTTATGCCAAGTGCCAACTAATTAAAAGCTCAAACTTCAAATTAATTTCATCAAATTATATGTCGGTTGCAACAATAGGTTTCATCAGTAAGGAAATGTTTAGTACTATATATTTTGTTACGAATATTTATTCCCATGTTTTGGCCATTTGCCTAATGTAACATTCATAGAAAAAGAAATGGCCCAAAAATAGAGAGTACATCGTATATACGAAAGAATTACAATAAAATACACTTGACATCACATCATGATAAAAAATGGCCCATGTTTTTAAGTTTAACCCGACTTAGACCATATTGTACATATTTTGAAAGCACTAGCAAATTCAAAATCTATGGAGTTAAGTTTGTGTTCTCACAACCATTGCTTTCACTCTCTTTTCTTCTCACATCTTCTACATATGTTTCAAGGGGTCGTCCGCCATTACTGCTTCTCCCCCTGTATCACCTGGTTGCAATATAAGAAAATTAAAGAGTAGAAGTGTGATGACCCAAGGGGTCATCTTTTGTTTTAGAATACGAATCCGGGTTCCGAGGCCTTGAAAACCTCATTTTCTTTCTCCTCGATTTGCGTGCGCAGTCCGGACGCCTTTCCAGAAAGCCTTTATGTAAACTCTAAGAAAAATATTGAATTTTACCTTTTAAATTGATTAAAGTGACTTCGGTCAATATTTTTGGTAAACGGACCTGGACCCGTGATTTTACGTCCCGTAGGGTCCGTAGTAAAATATGTGACTCGAACGTATGCCCAAGATCGAATTCCGAGGTCCCTAGCCCGAGGAATGAATTTTTGAAGAAAATTGTTTGCTGAAAAATATAATGATTTTTAGAAATGGAATAGTGTGGTCTCTCGTTGGTATCGGGCCCGTATTTTGGTTTCGGATCCCGGTACAGGTTTGATATGGTATTTAAGTCGTGTCTGTAGAATTTGGTAAGAATCGGAAGTGATTTGACGTGATTCGGATGTCCGGTTGCGAAAATAAAAATTTCAAGTGTTCTTAAGAAAATCATGAGTTTTAGTGTTAAATTCGTTGTTTAAGATGTTATTTTGGCGATTTGATCGCACGAGCAAGTTCGTATGATATTTTTAGACTTGTATGCATGTTTGGTTTAGAGCCCCGAGGGCTCGGGTGAGTTTTGAATAGGCCACGTAGTGAGTTTGGACTTAGAAAATCTGCTGTTGCATCTGGTATTTTGTTGCAGGCCTCTGATCTCGCAATTGCGAGATTAGGCTTCGCATTTGCGAGCTTCACAGGATTGGCAATTGCAAGAGTTTTATCGCAATTGCGAAGAAGCCCTGGGCCAGCATGATTCGCATTTGCAAACATACCTTCGCATTTGCGAAATCATCAAGGAGGGGCAACCTTCGCAATTGCGACCAAAGGTTCGCAATTGTGACAGTAGCAGGCATGCAGCAGGTTCGCATTTGCGATGCCTGTCTCGCATTTGCGATGCCTGTCCCGCATTTGCGAGCTTCGCAATTGCGAAGCTCTGGTCGCAAATACGACATCTGCAACTAATCATAACATGACTTACACGGGATTTTGAACTCATTTCTTAAATTTTCAAACCCTAAGCTCTTATAGGCGATTTTCCAAAGGAGAGTTTTCCCCCAAATCATAGGTAAACGATTTCTAACTCATCTTCTTCAATCTATTTCATCTTTTTACATGATTTCATCCCAAAATCTAGGGTTTTTCATGGGAAATTGGGTGTTTTTGGGTAGAATTTAGGAATTTCAAATTTGGGGATTTAGACCTCAAATTGAGGTCAGATTTCAAAACCAATTACATATTTTTGTTCGTGGGTGAATGGGTAGTCAGGTTTTGGTTCGAACTTCGAGTTTTGACCAAGCGGTCACGGGGCCGATTTATGACTTTTTTGGAAAAATATTGAGAAATCTATACTCATACATTAAAATTGGTTTATTTAGCATTAATTGATGTTAATTAGCTAATTATGCATAGATTCGGGCGGTTTGGAAGTGGAAATCAATGAAAAAGCGGTATTTGAGGCTTGAGTTTGGCCGTGGAATCGAGGTAAGTGTTTGGTCTAACCTTAGCTTGAGGGAATAGGTGTTGTTGTCTTATTTGCTACGTGTTAGTGTTGAGTACGACGTATAGGTGTGGTGACGAGTACCTATACATTGACGTTGAGCATGCAAAAGTCTTATACTGTGACCGTTGTGTCTCTTATTACGTACTGTTCATGCTTAAACTGATGATTCTCCATGTTGAACAAGTCTTATGATATTTTTCTTGGTATTGGATAATTGTTGAGTATTGACTCAAGTTAAGACATAAATTGTGAATTTAACTGTTGAAATGAGATTGGCTATTGTTGATTCCCTTGCCGGGATGTTATTGTTTCTATTGTCTGGGTGAGGAAGAGTGTAAAGCACGAAGGGTGATGTCGTGCACGATATTGTGAGTGAGTGTTAATGCACGAAGGGTGATGTCGTGCCATATTTGTGAGTGTTAATGCACGAAGGGTGATGTCGTGCCATATTTGTGAGTGTTAATGCACGAAGGGTGATGTCGTGCCATGAATTGAGTGTTAATGCACGAAGGGTGATGCAGTGCCGTTTTTGTTGTTTCTTATGATGAGGACGAGAGTAAAAGCACGAAGGGTGATGCCGTGCACGTGTTATTTCCGTTGGTTCGAATTTGGTATTTACTTTGCTTCTGTATTGAATTACTGTCAGAATATGATATTCCCGCGATATATTTCCCCTTCCCGTCTTTACCTCTTAAATTTCTGTTATTACTGTTTTCTCGTATATGATTTAACTGCACAGGTTTATATTGATGTCGTGTCCTAGCCTCGTCACTACTTCGCCGAGGTTAGGCTCGACACATACCAGCACATGGGGTCGGTTGTACTGATACTACACTCTGCACTTTCTGTGCAGATTTCGGTGTCGGACCTCGTAAGTAGAGTTTGGGTTGCTGCCTTCAGTCCACGGGAGACCCAAGGTAGATCTACCGGCGTTCGCAGACCCTAGAGTCCTCTTCCCTATATTTTGGATTTTCTGTCTCTTTCTATTTCGAGAACAGTTGTAATTCTTTTAAACCAGTATTTGTTGAACTTCTTAGACGTTTGTGAATTGTGACACCAGATCATTGAGGTAGACATGTATTGGAGTTTTTGAACTGTTATAACACTTCTGCATTTTATATCTGTTTATCTTTAGTTATTTTTTATTTCTGTATAGGTTAATTTTTAATGTGTTAGAACCGTAATTGTTGGCTTGCCTAGCGTTCAAGAGTTAGGCGCCATCATGATCCCGACGCTGGAAAATCCGGGTCGTGACAAGTTGGTATCAGAGCACTAGGTTGCCTAGGTCTCACAGTTCACAAACAAGCTAGGTAGAGTCTGAGGGATCGGTACAGAGACGTCTGTGCTTATCCCCCAAAGGCTACAGAGTTTAGGAAAATTTCACATCTATTCTTTTCTGTCGTGCGATTTGATTTCTCAATGCTAATTGAACTTCCACTCTGTTCTTTCGCAGATGGCGAGAACACGTACCGCTTCATCAACTGACCAGTAGCCCGAGCCCCCAGTGGCAGCTCTTACGAGGTGTAGAGGCCGAGGCCGAGGCCGTGCTAGAGGTCGAAGTAGGGGCAGGGCTCAGCCCAAAGCTCGAGCAACAGCACTAGTGGCGGAGCCTCAGGTAGAGTTTGACAATGAGGTTCCGGCCCAGACCGTTCCAGCGGGCCCATCCCAGGTTTCCGAGGGGTTCATAGTTACCCCGATACTTCAGGATGCTCTGGTCCGTCTAATGGGCCTTCTGGAGAGTGTAGCTCAGACTGGCACATTCCCTATAGCACCAGCCATCTCTTAGGCTGGGGGAGGAGTTCAGACTCCCGCTACCCACACTCCGGAGCAGATGGCTCCTCAGTTCCAGACTCCAGCAGCTCAGCCAGTGGGAGTAGCTCAGCCAGTTG